AGGCATGATGCTGGCATGGGTACTCGTTCAGATTCTACCACTGCAGTCTAAGGACCTTCGTAAATAGAGAGGTTGCTGCACTGAGCTGGTAAGCAGAAATAACCACGTTAATTTAATCGCTATGAAAGGGGCTCGGCCAAGTTAAGAAACATAAATTTTAATTATATGCACACACACATATTTGAATTATAATATATGCACAATATTTAGCTGTGCACCAACAATACCATGGTTTATTAAAACAGGAAGAATTCTTAAATAACATTTTATTTTTCATTGATGATTTTTGTTGATTTGACACTTCCATTTTGTATGGTTCTGGTTATTGCCTATGTCTCCTACACTAGCCAGATGCTATTGCATTTGCAATATTAACCAAAAGGAAATTTATCTACAAACCGTCTTAAAAATTTTATATAAAAGAGTAAGCTTTTAGTTATAGTGCTTTTACTAGTAGTTATTACTTGTAATAAAGATTATGTTCTCTGAAATTGCAATGTCTGAAGGAGAGCTTGTGATACAAACTAGGCGTTACAATAGAAAGAATTCAGAACAATTAGCGGCTAGCAAATGTTATTACCTATATTTAAAAAGGATTTGGATGTGATTCAAGGATTTAAAGACCCATAAATTCTACATGAACATTTGAGAAATTGATTGAAAGGGTAATTAGGTATAAGCAGTAAAGCACCTGGGAAATGATGATATAGGAGGTTCTGACTACTTTTTTTTTTTTTTTTTTTTTCCCCCCTATCAAGGAAGAGCACATCTCATTACTTTCTTAAAATTGTTTACATGATATGTGAAGGACTAATAGATAAGAGGGTTGACAATTCACTTAGACTTTCTGAAGACCTTTGGTATGTATGAGGCCTCCAAAGAGAAACAAAGCATTGTCTTGGATGAAAACTTTTAGAATAAAAAATGAAACAAAGACCAAAACAAAACAAAGAGCTTTCATTATAGAAAAAGGCTAATGGCTGGTGCATCAAGGTTTGGTGTTTGGTCCCGTGCTGTGTAATATAGTCATGAACAAGCTGGAGAGAGGGAGTGCCTTGTAAACCTCAAAGATTTGCACATAGAACAAAGTTTTTTAGAGCCATCGTGGGCAGGGAGATCTGTGCGGGCCTTCCTGGGGAGATCTGAATGTGCTTCGTGAATGGCTGGCGGGATGGACATGTAAATTTGTCACCTGTGTGTTGAAAACTTCACTTACTGAAGTTCTTGTCCCTGTTATAAGGTTCCTAATTCTGCTTAGTATGCAGCTTGGACACTGCTAAGACACGGGACACCGCCTGAGGGGTAATATAAAGAGTATTGTAATGCGTTTCTTTAAATGAGGAATGTGGCTTCATCTGAAAACATCAGGTGCCATATCAGTCCATTTTGGGAAGATTATTGAAGGAACTTCAGAGAGGTCTGACAGGACAAAGTTGTATGGAAAACTTCCCATGGCAGAGTAACAGAAAATATTGTGAAAGTTTATCCTCAAAAGGAGAGGAATAAAAAGAAATGACAAAAAAGTTTGGTCAGGAACTTCTATTTTCCCTGTGTCATAGCAAGAACAAGCAGGCAAGTAATAAAGTGAAACACTCCTTCTTTCAAAACATAGTTTAACTGTTGAACTCACTCAGGTGGGAAAACACGGAGAGCAAAAGTGTATCAAAATTCAGAAAGGGCTGGGCTATTCTCTGTGTTTCCAGAAGACCCAGATTTAGGATAACTGGAAGTGAAACTGCATTGTCCTTCAGCACTGACCTGTTCGAGATCAGGATGAAATGTAATATTAGGGTAGATTATTTTCTTTGCATTTCTCTCCCGAAAGACTTTTATACTTTCTTCTGCAGCATCCGATGTGATTGCATAGTATAGCACAACAAATATCAAAGCAAACAGAGGCAAGCATGGGGTCCCAGCTTAATTTCTCAGTCCTAGAAGAGTCTCCCTCTGCCCTTGTTTGAAGCTTCTAACACCAGCTGGTGCCTTCACAAGGAGGACGGTGGGTGGTAGGGACCCCACCTAGCTTCCAAACAACAGTTCCCATGGTCTGGGGGAAGCCTTGATCTCTCACATGAAAACTGCATTTCAGGCACTGAGTTGGCTTCTCGGTTTTCTTTAGGGTACCGGCCTAACGGAAAAATAGACTTTTCTAGCTCTTGTGGGAAAATCCTGGAGAGTTAAA